TGTTTTAGTTGTATTTTACTTCATATTATAGTTATATCAATGTAAATCATTGTTTTCCCTTGTGTTTCCCATTCTTTCCCTGCCATGTCGTAAAATGTGGTGAACCCATCGCTGTATTTGCTCCAAAGCAAATATTGGCCTTTCTAGTTTAAAGTAGATTTAATTAAATACAGATTCCTTTTCAGCCTTTGCAATTTCGTTTTATCTATCTAGTAATAGGTATTCTTTGATCTCGTAGGATCAGAGATTGCCAAATTTATCCATTTTGTTGATGATCCAGATAAATAACGGAGGAAATTCCTTCTTCTTCTTCTTCATTCTTCCTCTATGAGGCGCAGCTAGTGAAGTTTTGTCTCCTGTACTGTCTGTCAGTCATTGCGATCCTTGCAGACCAGTTTCAGACTCAAAGAGTTTCTTAAGAGTTGTGATAGGACGTACGGCCAATTCTCCTTTTTTCGTCTGGAGTCCAAAGTAGGAGTCGTCCCGCCGGGGAAATTCCACTAGACTATAATGAATTGAATGCATGATTAGATCTCTAACACTTCGCGATGAATTGTGTTTTAAAACGTCCTGTACCGCGCTGTGGTTTTCCATCAATTTTCCCCAGACAGGAACTGTTCAGCTAATGACTAGCGTGGCAGTACATCTAACCTGTAACACATCATCTATCATACAGGTTCCCTGTTGTGTGGCACCTCGCAGGAATCAGCCGTATTTAATTTACGTCAGGGATTTTTACGACCAAATTATCCAATCGCTATTATAGTATTAACAGTAAGACTTTGACTTTATTGGGATCCACAATAATGCCAGGTAACGGAAGATCTCTACCCAAGAAGTGCAAGTTGTAATCAGGGTAATAGTTATCACACCTTTGTCTCTAAGCTATTCTATAAACTACATACTTTGTAATGTGGAGTTGAAAAAAGTCTATTTCTTGCTTGGTCCCATCTAATCTGTTTTGGAGATGTATATGGCAGGTGAACGTCCAGGTTTCTGGACAGTAGAGAGTATCGGTTCCACAAGAGGGAATTGTTATGAGGCCATGTTGATTTGATTATATAGATGACATCGACGCGAGCATGAATTTTCGGCTGTTTAAAAAAAGTTTTTAACCATAGTGTAAATCGTACAAAACAGCTGCAAAATAAGAAACTACATACCGTAAGTTGCAAAAAAATATCGAAAAACGATACCAATGTCGTATAGAATCCCAAACTCAAACGAAAAAGTAAAAAGTGAATTTGAAGAGTAGATTATTCGTCATACCATACTCTGTCATTTGTTCAACCTTCATGACCACGTAGATTTCATGTTGAAAGCAACCTTTTTTTTGCCAACCTTTTTTTTTTATTCACACACTCGCATCAGTTGTGGGGTACCCAGTCGATGTCATCCACATAATCAAATCAACATGGCCTAAATGTTAACCCGAGTGACCTACGGATAGATACTGTCTGGTCAATTTGACACTGTCTTTGGTGCCACCGAAAGATCTGCTTGGAGAAATGTTAGATTTCTGTATTCTGTCCAATTTTTGCTATGACTTTTTTATTTGCTAGGACTGTTTATCCAATTTGTTTCTTACTCCCCATGCTAGAGCTTTTCAGTTTGTACCATTTGTTTCTTGATCCCCAAGCAAGGAAGAGTCTGCATCCCCAGTGGGGCTATATTGTAACGTTATGAATCAAAGACAGAACACATCAGTAACACTATTTCTCTCACGCAGAATGATCTATCGCGGCAATACGAGTAGTCTCTGAAGCCTGAGCCCATTTGTATTGCCGCGATAGTTCGGTCTGTGTGAGGGACATGTTACTGATGTGTCCTGTCTTTGATCCGTTATAATAAAGCCCCACTGGAGATGCAGATTCCTCCGCGGAGATTGGAGTAAAGTTTATTCTTCTTCTTCTGTTCATTTCTTCTTAATGTCGAATTCAGCAACAAGGGCAAGTTTATCCACAGAATCAAGATCAGTGAAATACTGGGCTTCGACTCTGTATCCTCAACCCATGTGTGCTTTGATTCCTATACATTTGTTTTATCAAAATTAATTTCATCTGATGGGTGAAACATCGGACATTTGGGTCTTTTCTTTTTCTACAACCGGTAATGACTCTCGTCTGATGGCGTTTTAACACATATCAGACACATTCCTTGGAGCTTCTGACTGTGGTACTGCTTCTCGCTGTTATATAAGTAGTAGAAATAGTACTACGGCTGTCAGAGGCTCTGAGGAAGGTGTCTGATAGAAGATGAGAGCCATGATCAAGGCCGGGAGCAAGACCGGATATCGGGCCGTGAGCCAGTGCCAAAAGCACTACGCCCGCCTAACTAAAATTACCGCTACGGGGGAGAGTTGAGCCCGAGGGGAGTTGACAGGCGTTTTCGGTTAACTCGTTGATAGTTTTCCAGACATCATCATGTTGTTTTGCGACACGAACATGAGCAATGCTGTCTATGGGTGAATTCTGTCCTTGGGCGAATTCTGCCTCCGCACTTACACAGGCTTCATCCAAGTGTCTTCGGGCTTCAGTGAGATTTCTGCAATTGGTTCTAGTAGCTCGATTCTCAAAACACTTGTTTAGCAGCTGCGAGCACCTCTTTGCGTGCGTTAGAGCAACAGAAGCGTAGCCTGGTTACCAGACCTACTATAGCTCCCGAGTCCTACATCCTCAATGCGGAGAGGATGTAGGACTCGGGAGCTATAATAGGTTTGGTAACCAGGCTTACAGAAGCGTAAGAACTTTATTTTTCTTGGGTTGTGTTGAGAGTTATTTCTACCATAGCCGCAATTAAGTTATAATCGTTTCAACGTCATCAGAACAATCTGCAAGATCTTCAAATTGATTTTCTTTACATCAAAATGTTATTTCATTGTAGGGATCCTTGTTACTGCTCTCCAGCTTCATAGGGTTTGATATAGGAATGGCTTCAATATCTTTCTTCCTAATAGTAATAAACTCTGCATTATACCACAAATATCACGGCAAGCACACTCATTTCCCCCAAACTAAGCAATTTATTGGTCAATGAACCGTCTTCTATACTATGTCTACAATATATCAAGCAAGAACAATGTCAAGAACAGCTATGCTATGGAACAGTAGTGCAGCTCGCAACATTTACTCTTTCAGTAGTACTATAGATGCACTCTTAGGATGACATTGACTAAGCTACTTTGGCTCCACATAGCTTGTCAACATAGAGATTTATTTGTCAGTAAACATCGTGTATCTCAAAACATCATTATGTTGAGCCCCGCTGAGCTTGAAAAAAACAGGGGCGCCAATTTGTGCATGGTGTTTGAATCTCAGGAGAAACAACAACTGTCACATAACAATGTTCTGCTTCTGATTAAGCTACAGAAAAACATGACAAAGTTAGGTCACAGCATGTAAACTTTATGGATGACATCCTCCGCAGACAGTTTAATGACAAATTGTCAAAACATATATGCCGTAAATTGCAAAAACGACACTAATGTAGTAACTGGAACAAATTAGACTAATACGACTTACTACTGTGAAAGCATAGCTTTCAGATGTCATCCACCATTTTTCTTCTGCTACTATACCATGACAGTCTAACCTTTATCAACGGTACTAATATCGTACTACCATGACAGTCTAATCTTCATCAATGATACTAATATCGTACAATGCCAAACATCCATTTCAAATGAAAAGAAAGAAATGAAAATGTAGTACATGTATGTATTATTCGCCATACTACAATGTATACATGTGTTTTAGTAATTTGTTCAACCACGCTCGCATCAGTTTTGCGGTTTTCACAGGATGTCATCCAAATAATCAAATCAACATGTCCTAATGTTCAGAAAAAAAAATGCTAACCAAAAGCTACGTTGGGGGCCAAATACATGTAGCAAACATGTAACAAACAACAAAACCAAAGTCGAGTTCCAGACTCATACCTTCGCCAAATGAGTTTAACCCCCCCCCCCCCGCAGTACCGTACAGGGCTGCAGAGAGGCTCGTAATCCATCAACCCACATCATCTCGAGTTATCCTGTTCACAGACCAACAAGCATAAAAGGTCCACTGCAGTAATGTAGGTCCATTCTTCTCCCCACCCACAGTAACTTCAAGAGTTATACTAACCACATCAAATCACTCCACCAAAGCCAAACTGAAAATATAACCTTCTGAAAAAGGTAACACATGTAAGAAAAGTAAGACAAGAAATATGACTGAAAACACTCATTAGAACAGAACATTGTATATTGTGCTACTACAAAACACACTTATAGAGAACAGCAGGGGTGACCTGGTGCATCTGCCTATAAACACGAGCCGTAGCAAAGTTGGATTGCACTACATGTACAAGCTACTTGAATAAGCACTATGCTTCACCTCAGTTGAGGACAACTGCTTTACCTTAACCATGTGCTACTAGCCATCTAGTAAGTAAGTAATGATCTAGATATCAGTGAAAACAATCTACATTGTGACAAACCAAAACTCATCATAATCAACAAAGTTAACAAAATCTGATAAAGCAATGAAGGCAGTGCAAACTGAAAAGAAAAACATTGCGAAGAAAAAGACTGGAGAAAGATGCATGTATACATCTAGCAATGCAACAGGCTGTCATCAAGCAATCTGTCAATACCTTGAGTATTAACAGTGAAAGCACTTCACTTCAACTTTTCACAAAGTTTTTATAGGTGCAACAAACATTGCTGTATACATTCCAAGTACATAAGCTTGTTTTGATTATGTAACACCCAGGGTAGACCCATGTAGTGACTGTCAACACAACTCCAGAGGAAGCAGTCATTAAGCACTGGACATAAAACTTTATGCCATTCATTGACATGTGCCTGGGGATCTAGTTAGTCTAGATATATTGCAAGTCACTTTTCAATAGCCTCCTTCGCAGTCTTGTTGGGCGTCGGCGCTTTTTTTTTCTGTGAGCAACGCGAGTAATATGCCGCCGCGAGGGACGATTTGCTGTCAAGGGAGTTTTTGCCAACAAGACTGCTTCCAGTCCCTCCATGTTACACTCGAGTCGGTCACAGAAAAAAATAATGCTGACACCCAACAAGACTGCAAAGGAGGAACTTTTCATCATGATTTATTCTTTTAAAGCAACAGGATACATTGTAGTACTGTTCATGATTGCCTTCTTATCTTTTCTATCTATTATCAGTAATCATCACAATGCCTTGTTTACAATCACTCATGTTTTGCCTACGCTTCATGCTTAACTGGTACTGATACAAAAAAATGCCCATCTTAACAGAGCCCTATGCTGCTTTTTCAAGTCAACTGCAACACCTCTTAACCCCTGGCTCTTTTAAAGTGTACCTTTTGTAATCCCTGAGTACAACTGTATTTTGTTAACAGCTGATCCTTGCAACATGTCCAGATGGCCAAAACTTCCGAGAAACCTTGAAATACAAAAATATACCATAAAAAAGGGTAGAAAACTAAAGGTTTCAAAGCTTTGTTCTGAGCTTTTTTGTAGAGTACTTCAATACTCACTAGGTATCAAGTATAAAGTCTTTTTTTTGCTTTCAACAAAAAATAAAAAAAATACCATGTATGATGGCAAAACTTATTGCCATCTTCACATACTTTCAACATACTTTGGTACTTTGACTTTACATCTTACACAAGAACATCTTTTCAACAAGACATATGGCATCAACTAAACCCTGGCACACCTGACTGTTGTGAACCTCCAAATACCCTTCCTTTCTTGTGTAACTTCAGTGCATGCACAGAGAAAAGCACTTGAGGTTAAATCTCTCGGTCAAACATGTATTGTACTTCCTTCACTTCATGATATGTCACTCTGAACTCTTTGTAGTTGCTTACCAACCTAGTAAAAGCTCTGCAACAACTAAGGCCACACAGATTTAATTCTATGGATGACATCTGTGTGTGCATAGATTTTTGCCTGTTTTGAGGCTCTGGCCTGAGTGATCCTCCATAGTCCATCATGGTGGCTAGCCACAGTAGTAGGGAGCCAGCCGTAACTATGGAGGACAACACCCAGACTGCTGAAGCTCCACGGAACTCAAGAACTCAGTACAGTGCCGACTCATAAATGCCGCAAAAGCCCAGCATGTACCAGCTTGTCCTAATAGTAGTCATGTACCACAGTACTACCACAAATTCCAAGATTTGTACTCCTGTGGATTAGCAGCATTTTTTGTTTGTGGCTGGAATTTCCTTTACTTGCTCACATGCACTAGTTTGGGGGATGTGAGAGGATGTCATCCACAAAATTAAATCAGTGTGGCCCAACTAAGTGCTGGGGTGTGTTGTCTCTGCTCAGCTTCTTTTCTCGCACACCAGCTGCTCCAGAAGCGTGCAGACCCGTGCCAGCTGCCGCTGCTGCTGGGCCATCAGTGCCCTCATCTCCTGCCACTCTGATCTTGGGATACTGACCAGGTCTGACCCGCCTGCAGTACCAACTGCTGCCACTGGGGGCGCTGCGTGGTCAACCCTCTGCACGCCGTCTGCAATACCAACTGCTGCTGCAGGGGGCGTTGTGTGGTGCACGCCCCCATTCGGGATGCGCATTCCCTCCACTGGGCTGGGATGCCCTCCACTGTGCCCATTCTGTAACGGAGTTGGCGGTTGGCTGCTCTTCTGTGGCTGCTTTCGACGGGGAGGCGGGGTTCCTTCGGGACTCTGCGGCATGATCTTGTTGGCCCATCCCTCCTCACACAGCATCGTAGACAGGCTACACTCCTGTCCACTGGCACAGTCCCACAGGTCTAGCAGGTAACGGTCTCCTGAAACACAGACATACCACCGGTTGGTTACATGGGAAAAGTATTTTGTTCACATTCCAATTGTCAATTGGTAATTTGACAAGGGTTGACAAGGGTTCGAATTACAGTCTTTTTGACTTTCCATTCATCAACAAATTGAGATATCATCAAGGGCTTAAAACACATTGTCATTGGAAAAAATGGTAGCACCATCTTTAATTTCACAAGGTTCTCTACTGTCCACAATGATGCCATTTTGAAGAATGCAAGGTAGTTTTAGTTGCTATTCAAAAAAAAAAATTCCAGTGTACCTTCTTGTCCGACAACTTTTGCGGTGAGTCTCTGATTATCCACATATCTAGACATCAGTGCTGTTGCATCCCTGGACCACTCCCCTATAGGCTCCACACCCGCCAGGCTGGCCTGGAACACCTGTAGTGGGCAGAATAATGACAATGAAACTTAATGCATATTCATCCCCTAAGTGGGCCAAATGCACTAGGTTAGAAACCTGGGGTATAAGGGTAGGAGGAAGACAAGCTACATCACTGTATTACGTCTATTCTGTAAGGTCTCTTCTTTCTTCTGCTACATACATGTAATGTCCCAACACCACAGGGTGTCTACTACAGCACAGTTACCATGGCGACAGATGTCTGGTCTAGGCCATTATTTGTTTGTAGAAGAAGAAGAGGAAGAAGAAACTGAGCAAAAACAATGTTTTCCTTCTGCAAACATAAAAATACAACACCTGCAGTGGAAGCTCCGTATGTTGGGGCAGTGCAGGCCGCAGTCTGGCCTGGCTCACTTGCACCTGCTTCCCGATGTCAACACACTCGATCTGCACCTTGTTGGAGACGCGGTGCTCCTGGACCTCAGCTCTCAGCCAGGTCTTACCATCAGGAGAATTCACGCAGCAGATCTCTCCAATGTCGGGGATGTACGATGGGTCCATGGGCAGGCCTTGGCAGTGGTGAGTTATCTCATTTATCAACATCTGCAACTCGTGCACACCTGAAAAAGATACAGAACCTTCATGTAGTATTGTACACAAAGCAAAAGAGAAGTCTAGTTACTAAAACCTACATCTTTGATGTATACAGAAATGTGGAGTCAAATTAAATGGTTGGGTGGTCATGCTAGCGGACACAAGATCACGAGGTTGCTGGTTCAATTCCTGGCATTCCTAGCTAGCTAGGTGCTGTGCCCTTCTGAAAAGCACTTTCCTTACTCCACCCTGGTGTAAAATGGGAACCTGATTTAGGTAAAAGGCAGTGGAAGGAGAGGGATGGGCTTTGCCTTACAATACTGTGATCTAGTGCCCACAGTGGATTAAAAATCCATTGCCTCAAAAAGGCTATGGGACCACCTTTACCATTTACCTTATGCAGAAAAGTAGTAGTAGTAGACTGGTTTGTTCATACAGACTTAAAAACAGTTAAAACAGTCATCGTTAAACAATTTGGTCATGTAATTAATAGATCAAGCTCTTTCAGTTCGAGCTTTGAAAGCCATGAGGATGCACTATTTTTGGGTATCACATGGCAGTTCAGAGTGGGTCTCACCTGAGGGTTCTGTCAGCTGGCAGAAGAACAGCCCGGGAGACCTGACACACTTCAGCAGCACGTCGAACCGGCCTGACGTCGGTGGCTTCACACGAGTCATCTTCTGCACACGGCCCTTCTGTGCACTGCCTGGGAACAAAATTTAGACGGAAAAAAAGCACATAAATCATAATCAAATAAATCCGTGAAATGGCTACATTCATTAACATCCATTGCCCAAGTAAAATCCTAAGTACAAAGGGATGTGACTGCAGAATAAAAAGGCTTACCTGGTCTGCTCTGAGCTCTTGGCTGCAGTTCCGGCAGCTGTGTAGAGGGGGCCCTTGAGTGGAGCTGTGGCCCACCCTGGGGAGAGCGTGTGGCAGACTGAGGTGTCTTCACCGGAGATGGCTGAACAGGTGGAGAGGGAGACCTGAGGCGCGGCTGCGAGGAGGGCGATCGACTGGAGACACCTAATAATAAATGATTTATTGGTCAAACATTACCCTTGCAATGGAAGCCTTTTAAAGCGCCTAATTGATGCAAGGTTTAGAATCACATAAAACACATGATACATATAACATGTTTGCTACACACACTTTTTGTGGAACTGTCGCAAGGGTCTGTGCGGCTGCCATTCTACGCCACAAGGTGACCTTAATACGACTTTCCCCGACTGAAGTTAGGTACCCATTCACACCTGGGTGGAGTGAGGAAAGCCGTGAAGGTGCCTTTCCCAAGGGCACAAAGACGGGGCGCATGTCCAGACATGTCCCGGCTACAACTCGGGATCAAACCTGGGTCTCGCCTGACAACTTACCGGGTGAAACTGACGAGGGCCGTTCAGCCGCAGCAGGTGTCAGTGTGGGTGGTCTGGAGGCTTGTTTCGGCTGGTCCGTACTGACGACAGCTGCACCTCCCTGCACCATCTCATCTGACACCCGAACACCTGGATACAAGGAAAAGTGTCAAATACACCTGGTGCTGAGTAGAGTCCATCACACATAGCCTTCCAAACACTACAACAGTCTCCCCAACCATGATTAGGAGCAGGGCGAGAGCAAGGTTGGCTGGTGTTTGGCAGTGGCCGCTACGGTTCTGTTGTGCTAGCTGAATGTCTAAAAATGTTTAAAACATTCAGCCATAAATACAAATTGTCCAAACCTAGTGATGGACAGGTGTAGTTGTCTCCGCATCCCTCGTTGTCAGGCAGACAGAATACTTCAGGTGATTGAGCCTGTCCACCCCCGTGTAGACTCTAGTTGGTATCGCCCAAAGTTGAAGGGTCACCTTCCCTGCGCATGCGCACCAGTCTAAAGTTTTTCAGCTCCACCTGGCCGAAGCCCTCTCGGGATGGGTCGTGCCGGAACTCGTGGAGAACTGCACCAGTCAGGGAGGGTGTCTGCCTGACAACGAGGGATGCGGAGACAACTACACCTGTCCATCACTAGGTTTGGACAATTTGTATTTGTCTACCGCATTCCCTCTTATGTCAGGCAGACAGAATACTTCAGGTGAGATTTGTAGCTGCTGAGGCCAGGACGTTTCTTCCGAATGAAGCTGACCCCACCGGTCTGTTGTAGAATTTCTTAAAAGTAGAAGCTGTAGACCAATTAGCTGCTGCTAGAATGTCCTTGGTTGATACGCCTTGTCGTGCCGCAGCAGAAACAGACGCCCCTCTAGTTGAGTGCCCGGTGAACCTTGAGGTGTCGATCCCGGCCTCTTGTAACACAGTTTTAGCCATCTAGCGATGGTAGACGTAGATACCGCCTGGTGTGGCTCCACAAGAGCTCTAAACAGAAAACTGTCACACAAACGAAAACTTCTAGTTCTTGATACATACGCTTTCAGGTATGTTACCGGGCAGATTCTTCTGTCCTGCGGGAAGCTTGGAATCACAATGTCGTGTGTGACTTTGCCCGGCCGTGAAGTCTTGGAGAGACTGTTAACAGTAAAACAAACTCTGTCGGAGATTCTTTTCTTGAATCTCAGATCCAGCAACGAAAGAGACTGCTCTCTTCCCTCAGAAGTAAGAGCAAACAACATAATAAGTGATAAAGAACTTGCTGGAGACCAACTCCTTAGCAACTTTAAAACTTTACCGACGCTCCAGGTAAAGCTATACTTGGGTAGTGCTGGACGTAGTTCAAACACACCTTTCATGAACCGCCTCACCAACGGATGTGATCCTAGAGGCTGCCCTTCCAAGGGAAGATGTGTGGTAGATATAGCTGATCTGTACACATTGATAGTTCTGTACTGGAAACCCTTGTCGTACAAGGATATCAGAAAGTCTAGCACCTTATTCAGAGGTGCAGAAACGGGATGGATGTGCCGTTGATCACACCAGCCACTCCACTTGTCCCAGGCCGAAGCATACAGCTTCTGTGTTCCTGCTCTCCATGACGCCAAGAGGATTTTGCTAACCTCTGGCGAAATGCCATACATGTCGTGCTGACTCCGCAGACATGCCAAGCGGCTAGTTGCATTTTTGTGCCCTCTGGATGAGGCATCCCTGACTCTGGCTGTGTCAGGAGACTGTTGTGGCGAGGTAGTAACACTGGTTCTTCTACCAGCATCTCCAGCAGGACTGGGTACCAGACTGCTGTGTCCCAGATCGGAGCTACGAGAAGCAGGTGAGCTCTGTCTTCTCGCGCTTTCCTTAGAGTTGGTGCGACTAGCATGAACGGGGGAAAAGCGTATGGCAGATCCCACCTGTTCCAGTTCATTGTGAACGCATCTGTCCCGATTGCCTCTGGCTCTGGATGCCAGGACACATACTGAGGTAGCTGGTAGTTTGTTCGGGACGCGAACAGATCCACCCCCTTCATGAGTCGTGGAAATGTCGCTTGCGAACAGATCCACCCCCTTCATGAGTCGTGGAAATGTCGCTTGCAAACCCAGGAACGTGTGACGATCCAGGGTCCATTCCGTGGCCGGAGAAAAATTCCGGGAATTGTAATCCGCTCGGACATTCTCCTTTCCTGGTACATGTTCTGCTGTGATATACAAGTCTCTGTTCACGCACCACTCCCATAGATCGAGAGCTATGTCCAGCAATCTCTGAGATCTCGTCCCTCCGAGACGATTCAGATATGCGACTACCGTCACATTGTCCGTGAGGACCTTCACGTGCTTGCTGACTAGCTCCTTGCAGAACGCTCGAACCGTCAGTGACGCTGCACGCAGTTCTAGGATGTTTATGTGTGCCTGTCCTTCCTCGACAGACCACCGGCCTCCTGTATGTACGCCGTTGCTGTACCCACCCCAGCCGGCAGTAGAGGCATCCGTCTCCACCACAATGTCTGCTGCGGGTGAGAGGATTGGACGACTGTTGTGTCTGGGTAGGTGATCTGTCCACCATCTTAAGTCTGCTCTTGCTGATTCTGTCAGTGGTACGAGCTGTTCCCAGTGACCTCTTGTCACACGCAGAACTGTGATGAGCAGACGCTGCAAACTTCTGAAGTGCAGCGGCGCCAGCCATACGGACGTGGTTGTGGCTTGTAGCCTGCCAATCACGCTTGCTAACTCTCTTGCCGACATCCCTCTGTCTGCAGTCAGTACGTCTTGTGCTAACTGCTGTAGCTCTAGAACTTTGCTCTCGGGGAGAAAAGTAACCATCTGTGTTGTGTCGATGCCGGAACCGAGGAAGGTTATGCGTTGTGATGGCTCTAGAACAGACTTCTCGAGGTTGGGAACGAATCCCAGCCCTGACAGGAGCTCTATGACTGCCCAAAGAGCTTCTCGGCATGCTTCTCTGGAGCGGCCGATCACCAAGATGTCGTCCAAGTACACCACTAGACGAAACCCCCGTCTTCGCAGGATAGCCACAGGAACTTTCAACACTTTCGTGAAGACCCTCGGGGCGGTCGCCACGCCGAAGGGCAGGCACTGGAACTGGTAAAACCGACCCTGCCACTGAAAGGTGAGGAACCGGCAACTGTCCGCATCTACCGGGATGGTAAAGTATGCGTCCTTGAGATCCAACTTTGCCATAAAATCTCCTGGTCGAACCAGGTTCTTGATAACTCCCAGAGTTTCCATCTTGAATTTCTGAACATTTAAGAACTTGTTTAATGGTTTCAGGTTGATAACAGGACGAAGACCTCCTGTCTTTTTTGGCACTGTAAACAAAGTTGGAACAAACTGATTGTGTTGATACTGAACTTCCTTTATTGCCCCTATGGCAAGTAGAGTCTCTACCTCTCCGCTCAGAACTTCTATCTGAGCTGGACTTCTTGCTCAACAAGATGGCAGATGTCGTTGCACCGGAGGCGTTCTCGCAAATTCCAACCTGTACCCCCTGACGCACTGAAGAACCCAAGGATCGGAAGTCAACTGCCTCCACTCCTGCATGAAGTGGGCTAGCCTGCCTCCGTGAAGTAGCTGAGTAGTGTTGGGTACATGTTGAAATTCGGTCAAACGCCGGCGTGCTTCTCCCTCTGAAGCCGTGTCTGTTACTTGGACTGCTTCTGCTTCCCGTCCCCCGACTTAGACTGAAAGGACTGGTTGCGGTTGTAGAACTGTCGGGTTTGTGAACCCCTGTAACTGTACTGGCCATAATTGGCCCGTGGCATGTAGCGGGAGTTTCTGTAGCTGTAGCTGAACCCTCCGCCAGTTGCTCTGCCGCCGCCGCGACGAGCACCACGCCTCGGCACTGAAGACTTCCCCTGGTCGTCCTGGCTGAGCATGCCAACCAGCACTTTCGTCTCTGACGACAAGTCCTTAGCCTTTGACCCCATGTCAGGCGGGAACAGGAACTCTGGGTCTTCAGATGCTGCCTTGAAAAGGTCTCTAAACTTCTTCTGGGATGACTCTGCTATGAACGTGCGTCGGGTGAACGCCAACTGAGAATGTAGCGACCCCAGCAACACAAGTGCTGAACCAGCACAGTCACTCATCTCTAGCTGCAACTCTTCAAAGTTCTCACTATTACAACGCTGAATCATCTGCCACAGATTCATCAAAGGTGTACCAATATGCACCAAGTTCGAATGGGTGTTCTTTAGAGCCTTATCATGAGAAATGATCTGCTCACCCTGCTTCTTGTCATTGTCGACGACAGCCCTGGCTATGTTGTCGTTGAAACTCGGTGCAACCATCGTGGATGGAGCGTTGTCGGGCATGCTGAACTTCTGCTGCCACGCCTCTAAGTCTGTACCCCGGCGCTGCTGGTCATGCTTGAAGTACTTTTCTACTTCAGAAGAGACAACATCGTCGGCTACCCATGAGTGCATGGTGTCCTTGTTCGTCGGGTCGAACGGCTTCCACACCGAGTCGCTAGCGCCGGAGTCGCCGCCGACGCTCTCTCCTTCCGCCCGTCACTGAGACGGGGAGCGCTGCTTGCCACTGCGGGCGCTAGCGCTATCTTCCTTCCGGCGTTTCTCAGGAACTGCCACCGCCGGATGCTCGCCGGAGTCACCGCTGACGCTCTCTCCTTCCGCCCCGTCGTGAGACGGGGAGCGCTGCTTGCCACTGCGGGCGCTAGCGCTATCTTCCTTCCGGCGCTTCTCAGGAACTGCCGTCTCTGGACGAGCGCTGCGTCGTTTCCTCGGTGAAGATTGCTCAAATTGAGCTAACATCAGCTCCTGGAACGCCTCTAGCCTCTGAGACATGGACGCAAAACTCTGCTCCAAGGCAGAGATGCGGACGTTTGTTGGCGAAAACTCCGTTTCGCTATCATGCGTCTTCCTGCTTCCGTCGCCGCCACCACTGCTTATGTCTCCGTCAGACGGCAAGTTGCCGTCTTGCTGAACCGTGGGCGGCTGCTTCTGCTCGCCGTCGCCCTCCTGCTGGCTTCCGTCAGCGCTGAGAACCGGCATAGCCGGAGAAGACGACTTCTGACGACTGTCATGGCGGTCGTTTTCACGCACATGGTGCGCCGACCCGCCCGGGCTTGTCCCGCCTTCCTCGCGCTCCTTGCCGCTGGAACGCCGCCGGGAACCGCCACGTTCGCGCTTGGAACTCTCCTCGGTCGCCCTAGGACCCGAAGGCGCCCTCGAACGATGTCTATCGCGTTGCTTTTCACGCCTAGACCCCATGATACCAACGCAAAACACGAAGGTGTTTACAGGTTGCTCAAAAAAATTAGACTGGTGCGCATGCGCAGGGAAGGTGACCCTTCAACTTTGGGCGATACCAACTAGAGTCTACACGGGGGTGGACAGGCTCAATCACCTGAAGTATTCTGTCTGCCTGACAACGAGGGATGCGGTAGACAACTGGCTGGTGTATGGCTGATGTTCGGGAGTAGGTTAGCAGTGGTCAAGGCATGGTTGGTAGTCAATTTTCCTGTCCGCATTGTCTGTGAAAACGTCTGTGAATGGGGCAATATTCAGCGATTCATAACTTGACAAAACTTACATTGTAACATGGGGGATTGGCACTGCTTTCAATGGTTCCTACCTGTAGCGAAGTCTTTCAGCTCCACAGACAGCACGTCACCCTCCCTTCTAACGGGTGTTCCCATGATCAACTTGTCCTTGGTCAGGTCTTTGAAGACTCCAGTTGCCTGCTGTGACCAGCTGTCACTGTTTACTGGTGACACACCTGCAGATTCAAAGGTGGTGTTAATGTCAGAGGCTCAAAACGATTTGATGGTCCTTCCATTTAAATCACTCAAAGTTCTCTGTAATTTTCGTATTACATATCTCCAATTCAACACCCGTTACTTAAAGTCTTGGCCCAAAGTATGACATAATTTCTGACCTCTACACCTATACCCTGGGAGTTATGGTTATGTGCAAACTTTATTTCATTTTGTTTTATTCTGTGTTATGTGAATACAAATGTACTTGTGAATGTATTACTTATACAATTTTTTCTGAATACTGTGTGTAAATTGAGTATAAGTATTGTAATGTTTATGTTGTACATGGCAAAAATGTCAAAAGGCTTTAAGAACAACCATTGTACTGGCCATGATAATGTAGAATACTTGAACAACTGTAGGTTATTACAATCAGGAATAATCACAATCACTGATGTCCAAGATCACTATGTGCACAGTGACATACCTGCTAGCTTGCAGTGCAGTGCCAGTGCGGGACACTGGGTGAAACTGTCCGGGATTGGGCGAGTGTTGGCTGTTGTCACAGTCTCAGTGTTCCCGTAATCCAGGAAGAAAACTTTCAGCTGGCTCTCCGACACGACTTGCACCACCTCTGCACGGTACCACATCCGGTCTGTCTCCCACAGAGCACAGCACAGCTCACCAACCTAGCAAAGTACAGGAGATTATCATGAAAGCACATCTGTGTTGGTAGTTATCATAATAAAATGTTGAACTTTACTCCAACACAATGATTACGCAGAGATCAAATTTTCCACGGCCACTGTCACATCAGGATAATTAATGACCAATCACTTCAAAATGTCAAGTAAACGAAAAGTACAGGAGAGTTCTGCAGTAAGCATCAAACCTGCATGGTGGAACTTAGTACATTAAATTTGAGGTGTGTGGACATGGATTTGGGATTGAAATTGCTCCAAGTTGTATCGGGGCCGGTGGATATCAATGAATCACCTATGGTAACGTGACTTTAGGTTGAAAGGTTCAAAAGCTATTATTTTACAGCACGTCAGCAGAACGTACTGCACCTGTGCGAAATCTGTAATGTACATGTATTGTGCATAGCACTTTGGCAGAACGTCTCATATAAGGTCGTATTCACGTATATAAGGTTAACATCTCGTCAGTAGCAAAGCCAAACTGTACTACAAGCTACGTGTAAGAGCATCATGCTTCATCTCAGTTGACTTACCTGAGGCATGTACGGCTCCTGCTTGTTGCTCTGTAAGATGGCTTCAGGCAGTCCTGCTATCAGCTCCATCTTTTTCCCAAGATCCTCTGCCACCGACTTCATGTCTGCACCAAGGCCAACCTAAACAACACTCCGGTCAGTTATTAATACATTCACTAACTAGAAAGGTAACATTTGCAAAGCAAATGCATAATGTTTACCTTCACATGGTCCAGCCTAACAAACTACTGCTCTGTTTATCCGTAATAAACTCCATTATGCCATAACCAGCCCCTCCAACTCTGTCCTGTGACTTGCTATATAATGTAACCCAACACTACAGGGTGTCTGCTACAGAACCAGTTACCATGGTGACATCCATCTGGTCCCAGTTATTGATCTTTGCTTGGAGCAAAAAAAAGTGATATGTTTTCCTTTGTTTCCTATATCTATGCCCTTGAGTTGTTGCCAAAAAGACTCAAAGGTAGATGTTATGAATAATTGCAATTTCATATCCCCATTCCAGTGTTGTTTCACCACTTCAAGTGAAACATCCCACTTCTTTTAAATCCTGTATCTCATTCTGCTAAGTCTTTATGAATGGAAAGGAATATCAAGTGTTGCCTTACCTGTCCATAGAAAGATGCAGGGCTGTCAATGTGGGTTACCAGAAACCCAAAGTCTTCCTGAGGGTCTTGTGGGGGAGGTGGGGGCTTCTGGCATGGAACGAACAGTCCTGACTCAACAACCATCTCTGCCACAGACTTGCCTTTGGAGGGGAAAATTAAGCATACATTACAATCAATTTTTCATCAGAATGGTAGAACATAAGATACTGGAAGCTCTGGGGAAGATGTCTGATAGGCAGTCTTTCCTGGTTGTGTATAAAGAAAACCCCAATATCCATTTATAATATATATTTTGTAAAAAGGGAAAGACCAAATTTTCAAAAACAATACATATTATGCTCTACGCTTCAGTGAATGTTGAAAACTTTGTCCTCTGAAGACATGTAAGGAATGATCAAGAAAAATTTATTTTATACAAAAGAGATTTTCATGATTGGAAAGAAAACATGATAAGCAGACTGACCTGTGTCGATTACGACCATGTCCACCAAAGCCGTGCCACCTTGTTCCTCCTTCATGGTGACGTTACATTCCTTGTTGACAATGTTAGTTTTCAGGAAGTTCACCATTTCTGGGCTCCAGACACTCCCTCCCTTGCCTGCCAACGCTAGAAGGCTGCACTTCACTGCCTGTAGTGGGACAAGGAAACGCAAATGAGCTTGAATCATCAAATGAGATTGAACTGAAGCAATGCTACAAATCCCCATGGTACAACTACACGTATTCTCAGACACTACAAAGTAGCCTAAGAGCACATGAATGAAGGTTAGACATCCAGATATTGAGATACACAAGAAACTATTACTCAAACAACTGGATAGATTTTGAAAACTGTCAGACATTTCAAATAGCATCCACTACTTTTTATCAGTCATTGACAACATTGAGATGTTACTATATGCCCCAATGTTACTTGAAACTTCTGACAGTTTTCAAAACCTATCCAGCTGCTTGAGTAACAACAGTTTTCTTGTAGTTCTTTTAACCAAGTAACGTTACATGCATCAAGAGCACAAGAGTAGACCTCACCAGTAATGGTAACTTTGCCATTCCTGGGTTCAACTTGCGGACCCTCGATACCGAGATGCTTTCACTGTTCCCAAAGTCAACGTATGTCACGGCCAAGGTGCCGTCAGGGTTCACACCATCCACACTGGCCCTGTACCAGCCACCATCACTGAACTTAGCAGCACACAACTCTCCTGCCTGAAAGAAAACATACATGCACTTTAGGGTTCATGTACTGAAAGTATGGCACAAAAGCAATGCTAATTTCATTTCATGTCAGAGTTGATAAGTTCTGTAGCTTGGACAAAAAACAAAGTAACAAACGTAAGATGTTTCACAGGTAGAGATTCATTTAAAAGACAGTCAGAATTTTCAACTTCGATTCATGTCACTATAGATCAATGGATTGACTTGAAGTTTAGGATTTGTAAATGGAAAACCAACATTTTAATGCAGCATCCTGGTTTCATGGAATCTCTCTGATCAGGATCTCTACCATATTGCTATTTCTACCCTAACATATCTATAGCGACAGCAGAATATTCAGAACTGACCTGTGGATGATAAGCATTGTTTCCCTCATTGGTAGTCCCCTCATATGTCTGTACCATGTGACCCATCAGTTCAGCCAGTTTCAGTATGGTCTCATGGTGAACAATGTGGACTGAGATGTCTTCTGGACTCACAACCTCTGTCACAGACACCTGGGGTGAAAGGGTGGTATACATATGGCAGTTGTAATGTGGGCATAACCATTCTTTGTATCAAAATTACAGACCCAATTGTTCAAAGATATCTCAAAAGACATAGTGAGCCACTTTTCCAAAGAAAACATATCAGAAAGAACAAGTTCCGGTTTGAGATACTGTATCTTGTTTGCTGTGGCCTTTATTTACACAGTTCTTGCAGCAAAATCTCCATGTATTAGTTTCTGGTGTCATGAATTTGCAGTGATGGTCTTGCACCCCAAAAACTCCTTTTGCTTCTACTGCAAAATCAAGTTCCAGTTCCAGTGAAAATAGATTAATTTACAGTACTATAAGATCATACTCAAATTTCTCTAATTTTCTAACTAAAGAGCAAACAGACACACTTGCCTTAACAGTTTCCCCCATGGGTAGTTTGGATCGTTCCATGTTGGCGACAGCAAGTTCAGGGGGAGGGGCAGCTTGTTGAGGAGACGGC